CCAGTCCCAGTGCCAAGCCTGGTGGGGGGGGGGGGGCTGGTAGTTGGTCCTGCTGGTTGTGTTCGGGCGGTTGCGAGGCGATGCGGGAATCTGTGGAAGGGGAGGAGGGGGAGCGTGACGTATCTAGTAACGATTTCTTGTGTTACCTGCGTGAGGCACGGTAAGGCGTGGACAGGTAGAGCGTTAGGACGCGATAAAACGGGAGATTTAAAGCGTGAAAAAGGGGGTAAAAAGGGTGAAAATGTACGCGAGAGGCGTGAGGCGTGAGACGTGAGGCGTGAGGCATGAGGCGTGAGGCGTGAGGCGTGAGGCGTGAGGCGTGAGGCGTGAGGCGTGAGGCGTGAGGCGTGAGGCGTGAGGCGTGAGAGGCGTGGTAGCCGTGAGAGCAGGAACTAGAACGGTTGAGGCATAAGAAAAGCGATGAGTGGTGGCGAAACAGCAGTAATCGTTACGCGCGGTCGCGTTTAGAGCAATTTTATAGCGCGTACGAACGAATGTATTTACGGAAACGTTTACAGTTTGAGTATACGTTAGTCTAAAAACAAGAAATCGTCGCACTTACGTGAACATGGCGGAGTGGAGACGCTCTGTACGATGGCGTCTGTAGTAGTTTACGTGCGTCTCGTTGCAAACAGGTGACGTTGATCGCGGTACAACTCGTGCTTAGAGAGAAAAACAGATATTAGAGCCGATACTATACTAGATACTGGATACTATACCGATACTAGGAACGTGGCTATCTACGCAAGTATTGCTACTAACCCAAACTAAACCGCTGGTCACCTGCACCAATCTAAGGAAGCCACTCAGCTTCCCGCTCCCCAGGTTCTACGGTTTAGTAGGTGCGCTAGTGGCACCCGTTTCTTAAGGGTAGTATCAGGTTGCGATGATAGAGTCCACGATAGATAGCACAGATAGAAAACACGAACTCAGAAATGTGATGCTACTCTCTGCTTGTTCTATTACACGACGGAATCAACTCTCTACTACAAACTACATAGGAGACTAGACATATGGCTACACACGCACACAGAAATATGACCGACTAACAATAATCACGTACCTTAGATCGTGCTTACCGCGGCTGATCTCGGAGACGCTCGGCCGGGGAGAAAACG